TTTTTTTCGCGTAAAACGCTATTCTTCTACACGAAAGTTAAACTTGAAAGTTTTCTAGAAGGAAGCCAAAGAGCGGCTGGTTGAAGGTGCTGTAGTTCGTAATAAGGCAGATCGTGCAAGAATGAAGGGAGTTACGTGTCCAACGTCCAAAGCATATTTCGACGCCCTTGAACTGAGTCCTGGGTCCAAAGAGCGACGCATCAACGAGGTATTCGAAATACTTCTCCAACTTTTAATCGTGTGTTTCGGTCTTCTTTTCTTGAACAGCAACATCTCAGTGATGATGATAGATGCTTCATTTTAGATTTTTTCCATTTTGGGATTTCGGTTTTCTTTGTCGAACATCATCCCAGTGATGATGATAGATGTTTCATTTTAGATAAGCAGGGTTCGTGTTGTAGCTCAGAAAATGCCTAGCACGCCAGAAAACTACTGGGAGGTGAGAAATTGGTTATACAAGCATTATTTTAGTGACTTACACTTTGTTCTAAGTCCATATTTATATTATATTACGGATTTTTGGAGTATGTGATTTCTCACCATTTTTGACGAATTAAGTTGTGTACACAGGTCGGGTTCCCTTCGGAATCTGAACAGCGACGTCGAGGTCTTATAAAGGAGGTGAGAAGAAAGTCTGGTAGGAAGCTGTTCCAAAAAGAGGATGTGAGCTTTAGCAGGTGAAAATCAATTCGTGTAATTTATGCCTGTGATTGTATAGTGTGTTTTCAAAGTCGGTTTCAATTCTGTATTTATTTTGTTTGTAAGAGTTTTGTACGTGTTTTTAGCAATCTTCTGATTTGTTCCATACTTACTAGGCAGCGGCCGCGAAGCCCTTCTATAGGCTCAGAATAACTTGTACTCGAGATTTACTCGGTTTGTAGATCCGAAAGGTTTTTTGATCATTGTTTTCTAGGCAGATTTCTTGGCTTGATCTAGGGTTGTTAATGGAATGAAATTAGCGGTCGAGAAAAGTTGACCGTATTTGAATCTCGTCTAGGTTCTGCTACTCTGTTGAATACCTCACTTTCTGCTTACAGTAGTATTAAGAGATTCTGACTGAAAGTTGACCATGTGAATTGACTGGGTTTTTGTGTCATATCAGGAATCTTTAATGTTCTCTTGAACTTGTTGGCCTTGTAATTATATCCCGATGAAATGATGTATAAATTTTGATGTTGTAAGGATGATTTCGTTCACAAAGACCTTTCTCCAGGCTATAAGGGGAAATCTAATACTTTCGCGAGCGGTTGCGTAGCGACACTGGAGCATGGCTGGCGGTATATTTGCCTAAACTAGATGAGAAAATAAGATTATATGTGTTCTAAATAATTATTTTTGAAAGGGAAGGAGAAATATTAAGTACTTCGGTACACTCAGTGTGGCGATATGTACAGAAAAATGCGAAGTTTCTAGTAGTCTGGCGATGAAGGGAAAGCAAAAATAAGCCGCCGAGGAGCTGAGTTGACCATTTTTGAATCCAGTTCAGAAGAGAGTAAAAATCGGCTGGAGAACGTCGGATGAGAGTTTTCTCGATGCCAAAAACCATGAGTTTCAGCCCTATACCCAAACGCTGCTCTCACGGTTCGAGTTTACCATTTAAAGGCAAATCGGGATTTTGAATTGGAAGCTGTCAGCGATCATAGTGACAGCTGGGCGGAACACTAAAGTGGAAAACGAAGCAGGAGAAATTTTTGAGAACGCTGGGTTTGAGGTCTTATTCTTGAACAGGGTTGAATGTGGTACGATGGCGAGAAAGGGCGCTCAAAAAAAAAAAAGAAAATACTGACGAGAGCAGCGGCCGTCGGTTTGGGAGAGCACGGCTGCATTCTCAACATCAAGGTACGCTGACCACCACCTCTCGCTAGTGGGTGGAGAGCGTGCGTTGGAAATTGGGTCGATGGTTGCGGCCCGTAAGGATTAGCGCCCTAACCGCGCAATTTTTGCGACGAAGCTGGAGTGATCTAGGTAGTTACAGACCTTACAATTTCCCCCGTGGTATCCCTCCTACTAGTCGGGCTGTTCCGGATTTGCCTTAAATCGCAGGGGTTGCGACCACTCTCTCTGTGACTGAGGCGGCGTGGTCTCTAAGCACAGGAGTCGAAGCAACTCGAAAGTGCGTGACAAGGGCCAAAGGCCTTGACCGCTGTCGTTTTTGTTCGTTCACGACATGCGTTGTCTGCGTCCTCTCGTACGAAGTGCTCTCTCGCACACTCCCTCCTCGCCGCACTGTGTCTTTCCTTCGTACTGCTGTCGACCTCACAAGAAAAGGAAGCCATCAATTCCAGTGTGTTCTATGGTTCCTTTTATTTTCCCTCAGTGACGCTCTTCCCACCTTGTTTCATCTTCCAGCGGAATGACACCAATTCGATCATGCCTTTGATCCAAATCCCTTCCTGTTAGATGCGGCTTGATGTCTGTCAGCGCAATATCAGCCTTAGGGGAGCCTCTCGATAGGTCCCCCTCCCCTCCCCACCCCGACCATCACCCTTTCCACTATGGCTATTCCTATAGTATCTGATACTGAAGACTGTTCGACACGCTCCAACTCCACCCACGTCGAGGCGTTCCCCTCTTTACGACCTGTCCACCATCACCACCCGAAATACGACCCCCCTCTGAAAAACTCGAATCGATCCCTTTGTCGGAATTGCGCAACGTGGGTCAACCCTGTCAACAACTCCAGTATCAGATTGTCGACGGACGATGAACAGAATCACTGGGCGGTTTTCAGAGTCCTTGAACTCTCTTGCTCTGCCACAAATGGCTACACCGCACATAGTTCGAGGCCTCTGGCTCGGCTAAGGGGGAAGAGGGTAGGAGCATCAAATTAAGGCGGTGTAAGGACCGAGTTCAAGTAGTCCGGAGGCCTGCAATCCTCAAGGATATCTCTGTACTTGTACCAGCAAAGCATAGTTGCTTGGATTCGTTGAGGCAGACTCACTACAATAGAGATGCGCATGAGAGGGAGCACGATAATGGTTTAGTGAATGGCAAAGCTGCATCCAGAGGGCCTATGTAGGTAGAGGAGGTATCAAATGGAGCTGATAGTCATGCAGCAGTAGCAGCTCAGTGCGAACTTCTCGCGTTGGGCAATAATATATCTCTCTTTCTGCCATGCTAGTCTATATGGACTGTTTGATTCTGAAAGGGAAACGTCTGACTGCTACATGGTAAGACCTTACAATCATTCAAGAGGCTGCGAATGCTAATCAGAATGGAGCCCAATGCATGGCGCAACCGAAGAGAGGTCACCTTTACGTGAAAATAACTTCATCTCAGCTCGCATTACGATTTCTCGCATAAGATGCGACATCCATTTGCAAACGGCCACGTCGGCTTAGAACCGGTTCACATGTCGTCGACTGCCACCTCTTAAAAAGTGACCAGAAGCGCCTACTGTTCCCCGCTTCAGCAGAACCATCCACTTTTGCTAGTTGAACTGCACCCTTTCTATTCGCTTACTTTAGTGCACGAGACTTAAGAGATGTCTCCCATTTTTGTAACATTGAAGCTAATTCGTTTCTTCGGATACTGTTAACAATTAACGATGAAGACGATCAGGATATTAGGCGAATAGGCGATCAGGAGATTAGGCGGTTGCTTGGTGGGCGAAGCAATGTAAATCAGTTCGCATGCAGTTTAACTCGCTATTCACCAAGATAAATATCTTTTCTTCTCGTCCAATCGCCTGAATTCTCAACTCTGAACATTGCCTCATGAGCATAAACATGGTTGAGTTATATTGCATGAGCACGGACTTCTGGGGTAGCGGGCAGCAGCGCAAGCAGCACGGGTATGGCCCTGCCATGCCGCTGGGGGCATACGCTGCGGAACCGCATCTTCCCACACTCTTAGAGAGCCTGCCTGCCTTTCCACTAGGTATATTCCTCCTTTTCGACCTCCGACCTTATCGTAGAATCTTCCATTAGCTCCACCACCAGTTTGCTCAAAACGGTCATTTCGCTCTTAACTGTGTATTTTCTTCCTTTGTGCTATGCAAACTTGAGCGTTCTTAACCTGCCCAACAGACTTCTCTCGCTGGTGAACCGATACACATTTTAGTGCTTCTATCCTCTTAGGGGAGTCGGTACCATTAGATCGGCCTAGGAGGCATGAAAGTATAAATGACTTCGACCCGGATCTTCACCCATGCGCCGTACCGTGAGAAGCAGCGCCACATTACACTACCTCCACCGGAAAAGTTGTGCGGGTCATAGGAACTTAAAGACACATGTAAGGATAGGCAACTGGGGTGAAGCAACACTTTGAGTAACGTAGAGTGGTTCGCAAGAACACAGGATGTTCTGACTTCGCGCACTTCACCAGACGGGAGACACGAGACCAGACGGAGTTGCGGAGGTCTATTGATGCACGCAGGGCTTCATCGCACACCGACTAGCTCCGCCCCAGGACGACTCCAAAATGGTTGCCTACTCTATTACTCCGGACTCTCTTCTGTTTCTTGACGGCCAGTACCTGCTGCCTGATTTTATAACAGGAGAGGAACCTTTGTTGGTCATGGCTAATTCAAATGACTCTTTTTTTCGTATTAATATCCGTTAACCTCACACATGCGTCTCATTTCCAAGTGCAATAACCATATCAATGTGATCTTACGATGTGCCAATCGTATCGAAACGCGAGATTAAGAGTTTGCAATCGCCTTTCAAAGGCATGCCCCAGGATCACATTGGTGTGGCTCCTGCCCACGAATACGAATGTATTAGTGCGAAATGGGCCGGCAGTAAAGAAAAAAGGAAAGAATCCGTCAAAAACGCTTAGGTTAAGGGCTCACTCACCTTCCTAATCGGCTGTGCTAAGGGAATGAGAGACTAAGCGCGGAGAGGAGAGTATGAGGCGAGAGAGCGCTACAGATGAGAGATCGCCAGACAACAGCCTGATAAGAAAAAAGTCTGCAGCTTGGGCAGCTTACTTTGCAAGGCCCAAGCGCTCTTATCGGTTGGTTTCGTGCACGAGAACGCCACATCTGTGATTGTCCTCTAGGGGTTCTATACTACAAACCGAAAGAAGAAATCACAGAGATCACCGAGAAGCCTTCACACGAACTCTGCCTGAGTTGTGCCTTTAAGTTCTTGCAATCCATAACTCTGCGAACTGGAAACTGCAGTTTGGAAACTGTAAGTGGCGCTCGTAGCGTTCGGGGACTGATCGGATGGTCGTTGCGTTACAGGTCATATTTCTTCTGTGTGATCTTTGATCGTCGTTGTCGCCTTTTCATGTTGTAATATTCGTTAATAGCCGATAGTTGGCCGTTTCTCCTTTTGTAGTTGTTTAACATTATTAGCAACTAATAATAATGCTTGCATGAATTTATTAGTCAACGGCTAAAGCCCATAAGTTGCTCGAACGTAATGTGTGGCCAAGGGCGAGGGATTCTGGTGGGAGTAGGGGGGGGTGTGTGAGCAATTTGTGTTCCACTTGGTGTTTCTCCCCTCTCTGGGCTTGGTCCTAGTGCCACCTACCAATGAATTGAATGCCTCCTCCCTCCCCTCCCAGAGCTATGAGCGTTTGTTTAGTCGCTCTTCTGTAAGGTTCAGATGGGGCCAGGCGGGCTCAGCGGCGCTCGTGCCGTGCCACAAAAATGCACGTTCGCCATTACCGACTTATATGCAAAGCTTTCTCAAAGGTGTCCAGTTATCGATAGGACGGTCATCCACTTACTCATCTAACGTGTCGAGAAACTCCATCGAGAGAACTTCATTTTAAGTGTTGCCACTCAGAGGTATCAGCCAATCGCACAAGACGTACTGGAGTGAACGCAAGGATAGATAAAAGGATGTCATGTTATGTTTATTAAGTTGCTAAGGCATACGTAGTAAAAGAACAAACAATAACGGGAGCGATAGTGTAGCGTGACACTGATTGCTCCTTATTTTGGATTGCCCAGGTGATCCTGGATGTCCATTCAAAATTGTTACTGGATTCAATGTTGATTGGTTTGAACCGACCCACAAGGCAGTGCTCGGTCGATGAACAAGTTAGGGTACTTATCCTTGAAGACAAGTCTTGCTCCTCCTAATCGATCCTGGAGGACTTGTGAATATTGTCTATCCGGGAGAGTATGATCCAGTTTCGATCCTCTGATCGTATCACTGCAACCGATGCCGTTTGCCACGACACCACTCCAGAGCAAGAAAAGTCACTTCAACACTGAATTAGCAGAGCTTAGCCCCAAATTGTACTTGCAAATTTCCAGCGAATAAAAGGATAAAAGGATAAAGGATAAAGCATTTGCCGTTGATCAATCCCTTTTTGGGATGCGGCACGCATTCTACTTCCATTTGTACATTCGCAGTGGCATTTGAATGCGATGTGGCCTATACAATGACTTGCGGGGGCCAGCCGATGTACAAGTCAGTGTTTTTATCCTCCCAGACAAGTCTGGTACCAATTAACCGACCCCGGAGGGATGGAAGGCTTGGTTGGCCCGGGCGACTCACGACCCAGGATTTGATCCCGGACCGCTCGCGTGGTGAGCGCGCCACTTGTCACTACACCACTTCCGCCAATCCTGGGTCGTGAGTCGCCCGGGCCAACCAAGCCTTCCATCCCTCCGGGGTCGGTTAATTGGTACCAGACTTGTCTGGGAGGATAAAAACACTGACTTGTACATCGGCTGGCCCCCGCAAGTCATTGTATAGGCCACATCGCATTCAAACGCCACTGCGAATGTACAAATGGAAGTAGAATGCGTGCCGCATCCCAAAAAGGGATTGATCAACGGCAAATGCTTTATCCTTTTATTATTGAGGAAACTTCTGTAACTCTAATACTGAAGCTTTTTGAAATAGGACATCAGATACGACAGGTAGGAACACAACTGAGCGGCTGTTTTGCGTCTTATACCACCCTTCTTTATTCTGGCATGATTTCTGATTGGATTGGGTAGAGCAGCAGATACAGTTTGGAGAGCTTCACTGACAGAGTTTTCTATGCTTTTCGATTCCGGATGAGCATACTCGGATATCGTGTTCAATTATGCCGGCACACGAGGTTGCCAGGACCTTATGACTTACCACCAATGACCAGGGTCAACAGCGACGCTAGTAAAGTCTAACGGAATACGACCATTGAACGGCCCCACCTAAGACGGCTCCCACAATGATCTCCATTGCCATGACTGTTTCCATGTTATTCGAAAATGGCAGCATTTGGCGCTGGCACCATATGACGCACTTCAACTCCGCCGTATGTAACTGTTTGAACGACCGCTCCTCCTTGGTAACTTATCAACGAACAATTGACCTGCAGACGACTGGCAAATGTCATCAAAGTCGCCAAATAACTTCGTGGCGGCTCACGTTCTTCTTTACGTTCTATGAGGCACGGGATCGGTTCTCCTACACAGAGAAACTCCAGCACTTACCGGTTGCCCGCCTCGGCTGGTGGACCTTCGAGACGGTGGTGCACTGTAATCGTGAATTATGCTGACGTGGTCTGAGCGGCATATTCCTAGCAGACTTACACAATGAGAGTGTTTTAGGAATTTGCTCATAGTACTCGATCGGCGAACTCAGTGGCTGCCCTTCAGCATGATCCAGTTACGAAGACCCTCTTGACGAATTGCTCCATCTTCACATGAAAGGGAGAGCGGCGGACAAGAGCTGCTGCTTTTCCAGGGATTTTCAGACTAGACTCCCTATTCTCATCTTTCCGTAAACTTCGCAGTTATACGATTGTCAGCAAAGTGACTTTTTGCATCCCGGTGTAGGTACCGGCATGGCATTGCTTCATTGTGCATGCACCTTCAAACAATACTACTGTAGATATCTTTGAAATTTACCATTTTCTGAAGGAGCGTAAGCTCAGGGGATGCGGAAGGCACTAGGAGCTTTCTGAAAGTATCAAAAATGGTCAAAGCCTAGGATGCACTGTGCACGATCACAGCACCTGGCATGTGTTAGGTTGTCCCATTAGTGTCGTTTTTTTTTTTCAGGAGACAAATTATCTCGCCAATATTCCAAGTATTTACAAAACTTTATAGACCATTCGAAATAGAATAGTCTGCTCTAAAATATGCTATGTTCTTCTTCTACATGTGTTGCAGGGTTTTCGATTTTTAGACCTGCAAATTAGGAGGCCCAGCCGACGAAAATCAGCCGAATCCAAAACTAGCTTCTATCTTTCCTTGAGAGAAATCAATCAATGATGTACCCTCTAATTATCACATGACCTCCTCTGAACATTCAGCTATTAAGCTTCCAACAAGTCGCGTTGTCCTTTTTCCAGACTGGTTTTGCAACCAGAACTCGACCGGTCAAGAACATTTCTTAAAATCTATGTAGCTCAATTTTTTTTACAGCCGAGACCTTGGAGAGTAGTGGAATGTCAAGAAAAAGTCATGAATAAGCTGCCTTAGTATGTAGACTTAAATTTTTCATCTTCCGGGCGTAAATTTTGTTTCAAAAATATTAGTATTCACATCTCGTGCAAGAAGACAGCTAAGGTCTAAAAGATTAGGTTTGAACCCCGAACTAAAATAGCAAATACAAAAACGAAACAAATGAGCGAATAGAGCAGACAAGATGCTTTCAGAAGATACACCATTTGATATGAAACAATGGCGTCTGGCAGGAAGGACTTCAATGATATAAATTGCTATGGCTCATCGGTCAGCCTGAAAAACCGAATTCGAAAAGAAATACGACAAAGCTTTTTTGAGAACCTGAGAGCGGAATGTTTAGGGGAGGTCATGTATAAGTAAAGGGGGGGGGCGATAAAATTCGAGCTAGTTGTTTGGTCTAATTTTGTCGGCTGGACCTCCCATTTCGCAGGCCTAAAATTTGAAAACCCTGAACATAGGTGGAAGAAGAACATAGCATCTTGTAGAGCAGACAATTCTCTTTCGAATGGTATATAAATGTAAAAGCATGGGATTTGGAAGAAAATTTTCTGGTTGAAAAAAAAGCGACACTACTTATGGAACAACCTTCCTTTTATTGAGGAGACAAATGCGCAGAATCAATCTACGGATACTGTAAGCATTATTGACTTTATTTACTAAGTTGTTCACCGTACAGGATTAGATGGGGCTGCTTTCAGCAATGATCAATCAGTGTTCTTTGAAGGTATTATTGTATTGGGCCGAATTATGTATGCACTGCAAGTCACGCTATTCTAGTTTCCTGACAACATTCAAATGCCTTCCGCAGTTCTGAATGGTAGTCAAGTATGTGGCGCATGCCTTAGGGAGTATTCATTCATTCTAGTTCCGATCCCTACTGAAATAAGGACCCATAAGAGTGTATTATAATAAGAGAATGGTCTATGTTAACGGAAAATCCAACCTTGGTGACTGATTGGATCTTTACAATGTAGCAGGGATGCATATTTATTAGGTTTTATGAGCCAAATTCCCGAAATTTAGGAAGCTTCTCTATGCTTGAATAGTCGCAGTTGCAGTAAAAAGGGCAGCTTTATCAAGAAGGGTCAGTCCGACCTAATGGTTCTTTCCCGAGTATTCAATTCCTCAAATGGTAGGCGGTAAACTGACAACCCACATGTCAGAGCCATGTCTCTTTTGGTTTCTTTGAACACTCGATGATTTCTCATGAACCCTTTGCCAAATTCGGATCGTATCTCATTTAGTGTACGCGGTCGAACGAAAGTGAGAAAGAGAGCGCCAGCGAGAAGAATCGAAGACTTTGACCGGGTTTTAGGACCCGTCGCGCCACCACACTCAAGGTCATTGCGGGGGTCTACGCGGAGGCGCAGCGTTGTTGGCGATGGACGGTGGACTCACTACGCCGAGGTGTTCTCCTTACGGAATGTGTCGATCCGAAAGAACAGCCCGACACCCCGACTAATCTGCTCCCAAAACTGTCCGGATCTCCTACTTTCTACTTCATATGCCTATGAATTTATTTTCGGGGCTGTTTATTTGTTGAAGCCTTTGTCTATACAATAATTGCCTCCTTTACCTATCGCTTTCTTGTGGAATCTCAGAAATTCGCCGGTCATCATCCAACTTTCAGGGATGCGGTCACTTATTCCGCTGACGGCTCTGCTGTGCTCTTTAGCCTTTATTCTTCCATCAAATGCTAACAAATTTGATCAACAAATAAAGGAGATATACGCCAATCCGTTATCGCACGGTGAGTATGCTACCCAGGACTTATCTCTCAGCTTCCTTTTCTACAAGAATATTTATTTTAAATCAATTCAGGATTTGGCGAGGATATCGATTGGGTTCCATGGGAAGATGCGATCGAGAAGGCCTTGGACAGCAACAAACCAATCTTCCTGCTCATTCACAAAACGTGGTGTCATGCCTGCAAAGGTCAGCATATCCGGATCGTAAGACGTTGCCTTAAATGTGTCGCAATTACACAAACGCGGAACTTCGCTTTTCGCAGATCGTTCCACTACTTTCTGCACGCACACAAGAAGTAGCCCCAGAAAGGTCATCATGATCCAGTCCATTGGACGGTAGCAAGGTCACGGTCGTGCTATCGATTTCGTAGATCACTCAGTGGAATTTTGGCATCTAGGCCTAACCTAGAATGTGAGTTGAGAGACTGGAAGCAAGTCAGGAGGGGTTCATTGAGCAATTTCAAATGAGATGAACGATTTTTTTTTGGAAAGAAGTGGAGGGCGTAGTCAGTGTCAATTGGCATTATCTTTTGAAGGAATGGAAGAAAGACATAGGAAGTTTTTTTGCTCCCCTCCCCACTTCACCCTCTCCGCCATGCGCTTGCTGGATGGACTGCATGGGCACGGATTGTGGATTGTAGGGAAGCTCCCTGGATAACTATATACAGAAAGAACCATTAGGAAGGTCGCAGGAATAACCCCTTAGGTAAGGGCAGGGGTCGTAGCGAATTTTTCAATTTTGTCTGACGGCGATGTTTGCCACCTGCCTGCTAAGAGGATTTGAAGCTTTTCCTTGATGAAATCACTCGAAACGCTGGGTTAGGACTGAGTTTATCCTATGCAGGACCCCTTTCGTCCTTATATAGCCCAAATGAAGGTGTTGTACTTGTAAAAAGGAAGGGTGTCTAATATCTGTTCGTGGGCTCATTTCTGTGTTGTGACTGGGTTTTTACCCCTCAAGGTGCGTCATGGTACCGTAAGTTTCTAGTGAATCCTTTCCCCTTCAAGATTTCATGTACTCCTCCACTCCACTCTTAGTCTGCCTTTTTCAGTTGACACGGGTTCGGAAAATTTGGCTGAAGCAAAGCTTTTCCTAAGGGTGTTCACCCCCCTGAGTCAATGAACGTCCAACAACATGCCTTTCTTTACAGGTCTGATTCCCCCTCCGTCAGTTCTCAAATCATCTTTCAGTCCTACTAAAACGTATTGGCATTTTTACACAAAAACAGTCTCTCTGAGAGGGGGAGGCGGGTAGGGCGGGGGCACAATGCTCAGTTTAAGGAATTAAAATTATCAAGTTTCAAATTTTGCGGATTTGGTCGTAGAACCGCCTTTCAATTTTCGCCAGAAATCTCTTTACACGCTCTTGCTTTTTAACTGGAGATACGACTGCCATTCCTCGAACACGATCAGATCCTCCCCCCCCCCCCCCCGCCGGGAATTAAATACAAACCACTGTTACAGAGGATCCTGACATATCCTGCTAATTATTCCAAATTTTTGGGGAATATTATATACGTAGTTAGGATAGGAAATCGATATTCTGAGCATTCGTAATTGCGCCAAATAAGTTCTGTCCAAAAATGCTGGTTTCCTTTCCCTATGGGATTGTCGCCCAACACAAGCTCCGGTTTTTTGTGGTCCTGTAAATAGGTCTATGAGGGCATGGGTATGAACTAATTTTTGCGACCCACTAGGGTTAATTTAGGTCTGAATTTATCCCATGCAGGATCCCTTTTGTCCTTATATAGCTTAGTGAAGGTGGTTGTAGCGTAAGTAAAAAGGACAGGTATCTTATCTGTCAATCAAAGCTCTGCAGTTTGCAAGTGCAGGTTTGATATCCAAAATTAATGTTTGATTTTTCAGCGCTCAAGAAGACTTTCCAACAGTCAAAACGCTCGCAAAGCATTTAAAAAGCTTTCTGAGTACTTCATCATGGTGAACACAGAGGATGATGAGGAACCTTTCGAGGAGGAGTATCGCCCAGACGGAAAATACATTCCAAGGCTTCTATTCCTCGGTAATAATTGGCTCGATTAATCGATAGCCGAAGCGACTATCATTATTCATTTATTTGTAGACAAAAATGGTGATCTCCTTGAGCAATTCAAGAACAAGAAAGCCGAATACAAGAACTATGCCTACTACTACTCATCACCTGCTGATATTATCAACTCGATGAAGGAAGTCTTGCGGTTCTACGAAATCGAGGTAATATATTTATTTGATTCGGTTACGGGTGGTTACAAGACCGAACTCTTGCAATGAGAATATGAAATTAGTTGAGCTCACAAATTGATCGCAGTAAGATTTCTAAAAAAAATTCTTCAAGAGTGGCTCTTCGTTCTTCGTTCAGTAGAAGTCGCTAATGCGACGTAATCGAATTGCAAGTTGATAGGTTTGGTGAACAAAACCCCTAAGCCAGGGCGCGTTAGTAATATATTGTACAGCCCACCCGCCCCCTCGCTCGGACGGCTTGTTGTGGAGGGAAAGTGAGTGGAGTGGTGTGGTCGTCTGGTCTCAAGTGAATACTATAGAAACAGCGGACACGGGTACTGAGACCCGAGATTGGCGAGGGTGGTGAGGGGGGAGGTTGTGAAATTTTTGATTGGAGGGGGGTCGTAAAAATTTCCAGAATAGTCGCAACGGTAAGACCGACCCTGCCTCTAAGACCGAGACTATTGTCATGGGTTGCCCAATAACCCTCAGTTGGGAGAAATGAATACAAATCAAAAAAAGGATAAAAGCCTAGGGCGTCAATCAATTCTTCTTGGAATGATGCGCCCACATTTGACATAAGTTCACAATCGTAGTATCATTTGAATGCATTACAGCAGCAGCATTAATGCATTGCAGTGACTTGCGGGCCTTTTACGTGGGCAACCAAGATGCGAGTCAGTGTTATTATCAATTTTAAGCTATGATAACTCTACTTCAGTACACTAGGATGAGTTTAGAACTGTTGGGAGATGCTAGAGGGATTAAAGGCTCAGTGGACCTGGGCGAATGCAATTTGGAATTGACCTCTCTGCTCCATATCGGCCCAGGCCCATCGAGTGTTTTATCCCCGTGCACGTGAAACCAATCTCACGGGAACTTCATTGCCACCACTTTGTGTTCACTGGGGTGTATGTCAACAGAATCGTCCGGAGCCCCGCGCTACTGGTCGTGGTCGCGACGTCGCGACTGCAGTGGACGAGTTTCTGTGAGCGTCATTTGAATTTGATGTTGAAGGGACACCAAGTCGACCCGTCCCTTCAACATTCAGTTTCAATCAATGCGCGGAGTTTTAGTTCTATCCTTCCTTCCGCTTTTTTTTCACAATAAAAACTGGGAAAGAAAACTTGTTCGCTCCTCCTCTTTTGCAAGAGTAGAGGTAGCACTTCCAGATTCGCCTCGATATCCGCGTTCCACATAGATTATCGTGGGCTCCAATCGTCAAATTCAAAAATTGCCGCGCCCATCGGAAAGGTGCCGCGTTGCGACGCCGCGCAAGTGGCCGCGCGCGGCGACGCCACTCTCGGACGATTCTGTTGACCGCTCCCCTGTTCACTGTAATGCACATATCTTAGGGTGAATATTTGGCCCTTGAGATTTTCCTTGTAAATCAAGGTTTATGCCGAATTGGCAATCTATGATAGAAACAGATCGCTTCGCAATACGATGGGGAACCTATGCCTGATATGCAGATGTAGCGTAGTCTTCTCAGTGCTAGTTGCCACGCTTCGCTTGATTTCTGTGGAACATCGCACCTCCGGGGTAGTGACACACCTCGCAGCGATCCGTCAAAAGTCATGGTATCAAGCGGATGACGTTATAAGGCTGCGTTTATCTGCCCCTTGATCCGATCTTATCTATCCACGTCCACCATACCAAAAAGACGGTATCTATAATTACAGCGTACACCAGAAAATCTGTGCGAACTTATTGTCCGGCTTTGATTATTTATGTTCCACCTAGTAAGAGAGCCGGCCAATTTTAGCGGAGAAGGTCTCCTTACGAATCGGTAGAACGGAGGAGACGTATGAATATCTTGATATAGTCTTTCCCCCCTACTTTCGCTACTCTTAATCTTTTGTATCAATGCAACAATTACTAAAATGGAGTTGACTCATGAACCAATAAAATTCATATTGGCTGCGGGCATGGAAAGTCGAAATATGGATTTTCGAAGTGTTTGTTCTAACATAGTGTTCTCCCGTTCATAAGTGTTTTTGTCGATTAGGCAGGTTACTAATTACTTGCTGTTTTACAGAGCATCGGGGAAGGATGTAGTAGCAAGCGGTTAACCACGCGCATGTTCGGAGGATCGAATCTTTGATCGAACCTCAAGTATACAGGGAGGGGCGAGGCAATAAAAAAAGACATTTTGTCTCCACTTTCAGATGGATTTAATCACACTTTGCTCAATTCAAACCGAATGGTTCCAACTTAGTATTGAAGAGCACATTTTTATAAGAAAATCTTCATAGTGGCCTACGTGGACGGCATCAGAAAAATTTGCCCGGAAACATGGTGCACTGGTCGAGCTCAATGGGGTCTTCGAAGGATCGTGTACCATAACGACCTTACTGAAA